TCATACACATTTATTAAGCTCTCTATATATACAATTAATCAATCACATATATATAATATATGTAACTGTATGTATCTTTAAAATTCTTTAAATGCATGTCCTCATTAATCAGTGTATACTAGCCATGATTATTGCCCTATCGTTATTATTGTTGTTATGCACCCCCGGATCAACCACTGAATGGCCGTGGTTTGTCAGCTCCTCGGATGCCCTGCCTGGAGGGCAAATCTGACATCGGCGAGTTGCCTCCATCACAAGGATCTGCGGATGGTTTCGCTATCATTACAATCTAAAGATTTTACAATATGACAGATATAATATATGATATATGATAGATGATAGATGATAGATATGATAAATTATATATGATATATATATATATAATTAAATGGTATATGATAAATGGCAAATGATACATGATAAAGGATATATGATATATGAGATATGATATATGAAATATGACAAATGATATATGACAAATGATATATGATGTATGACAAATGAAATATGATGTGATAGATATGACATACGATATGTGATAAATGATATATGATAGATATGATAGATATGATAGATCTGATAGATCTGATAGATACGATAGATATGATACATATGATAGATATGATAGATATGGTAGATATGATAGATATGATAGACATGATAGATATGATAGATACAAACAATATGATAGATACAAAAATATGATAGATACAAACAAAAATATGATAGATACAAACAAATATGATTGATAGGATAGATATGATAGATATGATATATATGATATATATAAAAAAGATAAATATGATAGATATGATAGATATGATAGATATGATAGATATGGTAGATATGGTAGATATGATGTAAGATAGATGATAGATATGATATATGACATATGACATATGATATGTGACATATAATAAATAATATATGACATATGATATGTGATATAAGAAATGATAGTATGGTATATATTATATGACTTTATGTGATCTGATATGACATGACATGCTCTTATATTATATGATATTATGGTTTCATACAATATGATATTATGGCTTCATATAATACGAAATAATGATATGGATTGATATAGTTTTATATGGCATGTTCTTATATGATACAACATTATTTTAAATATTATATAATATTAAAAGACTCAGGTTATGACATTATATGTAAATTATAAGAAATGAACTGAAATATAAAACATGATACTGTTTGATGATCAACCGTCTTGGTTGTCTGCAAGGTCAGGACGTGTAGGTACAGATTCCTAGTATTTCATACTCGCATTCCCAGGCTCACAGATTGGGGTCAACAAACTACAAATCCTTATCTGACATGATTGAAGAACTGTTCTGTCCCCTATTCGCTATTGATTTTCGTTGAACATAGACTGGATCACTGGACATCTTCCACTGCTGCAGGACCCACTTTGGCCAATCCCAGCCACCAATCCCCATCCGCCCCGGCCTCCTTGAAGTAGAAGCCCGCCCGGCAACTTTGACAGCTGGTCCCTTCTGGTCGAACAACCTGTCCCACCGAGGCGTTTTGAGAATTTGTCGGTGTCGTTTCAATGGGGCCAATAAAAAAAGGGGATATCCATTAGCAAATATCGATAGCAACTTTTTGATAATTTATAACTCTACAAGGTGCTGCCCCATTGTTTGCTAAATTGGTTGACAGGTAACCTTACGAAAATTTCCGACAAATAATATATCTACAGTGGGGGTTATCAACCAACCTGCAAGTACGAGTAGGGCACCAAATTTGGGCGTGTCCAAAAATAGGGACCCAGGGGCCCCTACTGTTACTACAATTCCATTGGTTTACTATAATGAATGCTCCCATGGACAAATTGCATTTTGTGGGGAGTGTCTTATTTTCAGACACAGCACTTTGAACACTGGTTACTAGCCTGCGCCCCCTAAACAAATCTTAGCAATCATTTTCCTGTTTTTTGGGATGAACATGTTGAACAGGAATAGGGAAGCATCCCTAACACATCGGGTGTATCCATGTGCATCCTTTGAAGCAATGATCACAGATGTCTTCAATGTTCACCAAAATCTCACACCTGCGCGTTTCTATACCCATCCTGAAGGAATTGACAGCTGACTCATCACACGACTGTCCAACTGCTTCTGGCTGCTTTATGCCTTTTCAGTGCTGAACCTGCCGGGGTTTTTGGAAGATGAATTGTCCTCCTATGCCCATCAGATCTGCCCGAATCGTCACAGGATACATCCACAACATGTGGAGAACATACCAAATACCCTCTGGTAATTTAACATAGCTATGGAAAATCACCATTTTTAATGGGAAAATCCACTATTAATGGCCATTTTCAATAGCTATGTTAAATTACCAGAGGGTAAAACCTCCAGAGCTGTTGCTTCAATCGTCGTTGAAGTGACATGGTTTTGGTGCATCCCCGGGCCACAGTTGAATCCCTATGGCTGCCTCTTGGGCTGGTGGACAGCCCTGACATCTGATGGCACCTGGCAAGAGATCTGAATGTAGGATGGTATACATTATTGGGATATTATATACATGATTATAATTGTATATTATACCATTCAATGCGTTTTTCATAGTATAAACATGTATAAACTACTAATATCATAGGATTTTCCAAATCTCAAGAGATTTCAACACACCTTTTCCCAGGGATATCCAGGGATCTACATCTTTTATCGGGGAATTTCATGCTGATGGAATATCCACCTGGTCCAATTCCTCAGAAGGGGATGCAAAGGAAATTTCTAAGCTTACCTCAAACTACAAGTTGAATTCGTTCCTGGTTTTTAATCTGTCCCCATTCATAGCAAAAATCAATCTGATAAATGTTCCTTTCACCAAGGTTTTGGCCTTGATGGTAAAGTCCTTATATTTATTTTGATGGTCAACCTGCCCATTCTCCCTGCTATCAGCTACTGAAGGTGTTCTAAGTACACGTTGGCAGCCTCAAGAGCCAGATTTTTCAGCTGCCCGCTTCATCCATGTTCTCAATATCAGTGGGAATTTCAGGATCCTAAAATGGAGCTACTGTACCATCTAAGGAATCTAAGGCCATATTTTGTGGGGATATTCCCTGAAATTTAGCCCTTACATAGGCCTTACATATGGCCTATATGGTAGGTACCTCCAATTTAGGTTCCTGAGATGGCCAGTGACAATATGTAAGTCATATGTTATCAGTCAACTGCCATCACCTTCTGACTCTTGCCAGTATTAGAAAGTAACGACAAGTCGCAACCAGGAAATGATCATTGGTTGATCTCACCACTTTGGGTGGTGAAAAATATCCCCAAGGGACTGATGCATTCCAATCAGTTTACCTTCTCAGTCCGCAACGTGCCCCCATATTACTCGTGTGTTTTGTCTGAAAATGACCCCAAAATCTGATGGCATGTCATGGTTTTACCGGCATGTCCTCAAATGAAAGTGAAATTTAGGGCTCCCGAAGAAACTAGCCATACTTTTGATATCTTTTGATCCTTTTTCCATTAAAACAACCGTTCAAAGATATATTGAACATAAACATAGTCACAAAGTCGGTATAGTATTTTTTCCCACTCGTCAAACCATGTTTTTTGGGGGATGAAGATTGGGACATGATGTCAATGGTCATTCATCATCATCCCGGGGAAACCTCAAAAACTGGATCAAAATAGCTAGAAATAGCCAGAAAGATAGACATCATGTTTCCTATGAACAAACAACAATAAACTAGCTAACTAGCATTAACAACCATAAACCAGCATTAACAACAATATAGGCTAGCATTAGTTAACAATAATAAACCAGCCATAAATTTGGGTTCCCCCTCGCCCATTTCCGGGCCCCAGGGCCCATTGGCACCTCCACCCTCGACACCCTCCACACTGACGCGCTTCAAGCGGACCGCAGAATTCGAGGTCTTAGGCACCCGTGGCTGGGAAAAGCATCGGAAAATGCGGTCAATTTCTGAGAAAAACATTCATTGAGTGGGGAAAATCATCGAAATATAGAAGGTGGTGCCCCCCCAATTTATAAATTGGCTTATAAACCCAATGATTCCCATTATAAGCATAGTTATATCTAGTATAAACATGCATCAACCATAGTTAACCCAGTGACACACAAACTTAGCTATCCCGGGGGGCCCACCCTGTAGCTGGGGCACGATGGGAGTCGGGATTGAAGCAACAAACAATGGGGGAACTAAAGCAACTCTATTCGGGAGATTCAATATTAAACATTATATATATATATATACTATAAATGTATACCCAAAGGGTCCATGTCTAAACTTTGTTTAGGCGCAAGCTCATGTCTGAACTTTGTCTTGACAGGGGATCCCATGTATATACGTTTGCTTATCCACCCCTGCCCACTGCGGTTTTGGCCTCTTCTGCCCAGGAGTCAGGTCAGCAAGGGATGATGTCGGCAAGGTTCAAGCGTTAGAACACCAACATATACCATCACTTCATTTTCTTCCCAAATCTGGGTGGCAAATTATGAAACTTAGAACATTTTTTAAAGCAAGTAGGATCATCAGTGAAGCCATGGCCCACGAGTGTTCTCATGAAGAGGGCCCTATTATTACAAGGTCAGATACTTAGTCTTCAAGGATTCAGAAGCATTCAGGTTTCATCTTGTTTGATTCCCATCAATCCTTATCAACCCAACTGCTTCTTTAGGCCACTACGAGACACAGGATGGTCATCTCAGTGATGATGAATCGGACTTGGGTGCCACCAGCCCGGCAATGCACCAGCACTGATAAGATGAGTTCGTTCATGCGTGTTTGGGATGATATAACAAATCTTGAAACCTCTGACTTAGTAGCCATTTTTGGTTCTTCAGTTCTGGGTGGCCTTAGCCCATAATGAATGGGCGTAGTAGGGTCCGCCTAGATCCAGGGCGCGTGGCCCTGCTGAAGGATTGAGAAAAGATATATTATTGGATGCAACCACATGTATGTATATATACACGGAAGAGTTTCTGATGGAGCAGAAAAGCAAAGGAAAGTTCAAACCAACTTCCCGTTGTGGTTTGTAAACTATTATAGCGGCCTATGCCCCAAATTCAAGAGAACGGTACTGGGACTGCACCCGGCCTATGCTTGGGATAAATTGCACCAGCAAAACTTTAAATATATTTGGGTATATTGATAATTCCCAGAAAATGTCAAAAATAAGCATCTCATGCCCCATCATATCCAAAATTTTTGGTTGGGTGGGAGCCCGTGCTTTTTCAAGTCCTGTGGGTCTTTAAAATTCTGACCCACTTGCAGTTGCACTATGACCAGACCGTGTCACATGCGTGGTCAGACCGTGGTCAGACCGTGGAATGTCTAAACTTTTGCGTGGAATGTCCGTACTTTAGCGTGGAATGTCTAAACTTTTGCGTGGTCCCACTACCCCAAAAATCTATCAATTTTGGATAATTTTGGTATATTTTTGCACTTGTTCAATTTGTATTCATGTCAACAAGGGCGTACCCGGAATTGCTACAGCGGGTCATGTTGGGCAATTGTTTGAACCAATATCGTATGGATATGGCTGCATATCTATGCCGGATCTCAAACTTGCATCGGTTCAAGTGCCCTCCCACATGTCCACAGGATGATTTCCATGCATGCATGAACCAAAAACAAAACAAGTTCACCATGCTGCATTGCTTTCTTCAATTTAATTCAGCAAACAACATTTCCACTCCAAGGTGTGAATGCGAGATTTGAACATACATTTTGTGATGAAGATTCTATGGGGTGGCTTCGCCGTCACTTGTTTCAACTTCTTCTGGTGTACATTAGTAGAAACGACTTGTAGCACTGGTAGGCTTCCCTGTTCATGGTAGTGAATATAGCTGCATTCACTTCATGTTACACTGTTTGTGATTTTTGTTGATTCATGATAGCCTATTTAAGAAATCAGGCACAGTACTCCGCGCACATCCTCTTCACCAACGATCTTGGGCCTTGAAGGTATCTAAACTACGATTGCGGAGCTTGAAATGGCGAATCGGAAAGTTTCTTGAACCAACATATGCGCATATGTGTTCCAGCAATATCGTGCATGCATGTGTGCGTGGGAGATGGCATGGTTTTTGTGGTGAGTTCCTGTTTTACATGTTTTGGGGTTGCCTAGGCTCAACCATTCTGCCGCGCAAAGAATTTGTGCCCGCGAAGCTTCAAACAAAGAACCAGAGAAAAAATGGCGAATCATGCGCCAGAGAGTTGTTGGAAATCCTGGGCATAAACATGTTTCTAATTTCAGGACCTTTGTTCAAGTTGGGATATGTCCATGTGCACACACTGTTGTTTTAACATGTTTCAACTGGTAGGTATAGGTGGTGGGGCGTGACAGGGCGTGACACAGGGACATGTGCGAATGTATATACGTATACCTAATGTCTATAAAAAGAATAGACCTGGGACTACTTGGGTATATGTATATAATTGTAATTATATACTGTAGTTGGTCTTTGACCTAACCACCTGGTAGCTTCCAACAGGATCTTCCCACCTGAATACGCTCTCTTCTCTTTTGGATCCGCCACAAAAGGTCACGGCTGCAAGGCTTACCAATCTAAGCAGAATCGGGATTGCAAAAGGGCTATGGGCCCAGGTTGACCAGCGTGAGCCCCCGGCTCAAGGACGTCCTCGTCCAACCAAAGGTAAACTTCTATGGCTTCACAAGCACTATTGAATCCCACCCTCTATCCGCTCCTTGGCTTCCCTGAGCCTCAAGTGCTAGCGGTATCCCCTAAGGTTTTGTTGAACTTGGAAAACACCTGGCAGGTTGAGGACATGGTATGCAAGGCTCTTTGTGGGGTACTGCAATGATGTGGATTCACACTCCCAAAAATCCATTGTTTATTGCTAATAAACAGTCATCATTGCAGCCATGTTCGGTCAGCGGAGTCGTGCACGTGTCTTTCAACCATTTGATCCTGTTTCGAGAAGAGGCTCGATTCTTCAAAATTTCCAGTTCATCATGTAACTTGTAGTGACCATGGTGGAGGGTGGTTCGAAGGAATGAACTTTCCATGACTTTAGTCAGGCTGTCCGCGAGCTGGGCTCCGCTGTGGACCCATCTCAGTTGCACTCCTTCCGACAGGAAATCTTTGATTGCTCTGGCATTCAGCTGGGTACGATACTCGGCACAGTTTGGAGCTGCCGTTCTGGTTACCAAATCATACAAACTCTTACAATCAGTTGCTGCAACACTCTCAGGCAAGTTCTGAGCTCGATATGTGGCGGTGGAAAATGTCTCTGGCAGTTTTAAAAGGGCATCACTAGGTTGTTTCCATTTCACTGATGGATCAAGCATCCAACCCCAGCATAAACGTAGCCATGACAAATGATCCAAAACCGAGCTAAGAGATACTGTTTCCGCTGCAAGCGTGCTGGTGACCACACGTTGGATCTTCTTACATCCCCAGGCTATAGGGCTTACAGGGCAGGAAACATTCTGTGCAATCAACTTATGGGTTCCCATGATTATGCAACCGGTGTGTGCATTTGGTGTTCCCTTCGAGGCGAAGGATGCATCGGAAAAAGCGAGGAATCGGAAGTCATCAACATGAATCGGTTGGATTTTGATGGTAGTTTCACTGTGTTTCTTTGCTTCATGAAGTGTTTGGTTGGCAAAACTGAGTGTCTGTACTGTGGCTTTATTGATGGCTGACTGTAATTGGCTTAAGCGACTTGACAAGTCTGGCCTTGTATGAACTGCGGCGTATTGAAGACTACCTATTAAGGCTCGTAGCTTTTGTCGTTCCTCTTCTGTGACTGGGCTTTCACCTTGTCCTTTGCGGTCAAGAGATATTCTAATTGGTTCAATGGCATTCACGTACTTGGTCTGTCTCATCGTTATGGTGTGATCAGGAAGCTGATTCATTTCAATTCCTGTGAGCGTGAATTGTTTCATCTTTTTCGAACCAAAAGGATATTTCTTTTCCAAGAGGGCAAGCTTTGTTTCGAAAAACTCATCCCCCCCGCATATACCGTCATCTACATGAAGTCCAATCACCCCTGACAATTTGTTGGTTCTCTCATGGCGGAGGAGAAATTGGCATGGATCAAAAGGACTTTGAATAAACCCGAGGTTTTTGAGTTCTTCTGTTATGGCCATGAACCACAGGTATGGTGCGTCTACTAAACCATAAGCCCCCTTTTCCAACTTGCAAACTTCGTTTGTGGATAATTGAAGGGCTTGTATGAGCTCGGGAACAGGCTCAATGGCTAGTGTTCGTCCAGCTTGTGGCTTGCCTTGTAGGAAAGCAGCCTTTATGTCGAAAGACCGCAGCATCCATCCCATGGAAGCAATCAGCTGTAAAGACAGCATCTTTGCATTTCGGCCAAGTGTTGGAGAGTCTCGAGGTAACTCTTCCAGCTTGGGATCTAGGTAACCAAGAATCACCAATCTCGCCTTGGCTTTTGAGGTTTGAGGTTTGTCATTCTTGGGACCCTTTTGTTCTTCATCCACGGGTTTCCAGGTCAATATCCAACGACATCTCAGAATCTGTTCATGTGGAACCTTGGACCTTAAGATTCGGGATATGGTACCGGTATTTACCCAATTCTGGATTTCACTCTCCTTGGCCTTTTGGAACTGGGCTTTTTCTGCTGCAGTCAGCTCGGACAAACGGACTTCAGCTCGCTGGCGCTTTGCTGCAGAAGCTACAAAAGCCATTTCAGTCGGATCCGATTCTTCTTGCCATGCCATGATGTCGGAGTCAGTGACATGTACTTCACATTTCCAGGCCAGGTCATGCTCGGATGATTGCGGGGACATGGCATCATCGAGGTCTAGGCAATGGTATCCCTCACAGTAGAGGTCATCATCATCATCATGTGGTACTGGTGTGGTTATGGCAGGGTCTAGTTCTTCGGGAGAATTATCCATGGGGTTATCATTGGCCAGTTCA